TGTAGCCCAGGCTACCCTCGAACTTGCAACAATCCTCTTGCCTCAGCCTCCCGAGTGCTGGGATTATAGGTGTGTGTCACCACGCCCAGCGAGAATTTGTGATAAATAAAAAGGTTGACACAAATTTTTTTTTTAAACTCGGGATTGAACCTAGGGACCTTTGCGCTGGAGGTCTGTCTCTGGCCCTTTTTATTTTTCATTTTGAGGCAAGGTCTTGCTAAGTCCCTAAGTTGCTAAGGCTGAGCTTGAATTTGTGCTCCTTCTGTCTCAGCCTCCCATGGTTCCGGAGTCACAGGCAGTGTGCCACTGTGCCTGGCTCAAATTAGGTAATTGTGCCCTCCTTGCTGTTGTATTTCCTTCTCAGCACTTGCCTCTGGTTTCTTCTCAGGGTTGTGTGGGCTTTGCGCACCCCGCCCCAGGCGGGCATGTGGCCTGGAGAACTGAGTCCGCCTGCTGTGATTCGTGGCCAGGACTGAGGGTTTGGGTTCACTCAGTTCACTGAAGGGCTGTAGTGTTTTTGATAAATTTTACGTGTTGTGTTTTTCCGCCAGGTAATCACTTTACAGATATAAAAAAATAGAAACGGTTTGGGTAGTTGAAGTAGGGGGCGATTGATGAGCAAAAGGTAGGGCCGGGAGAGTTGTGGAAGACACAGCGAGGAGACGGACTGGCTGCACCCGTGGCCGGCGTTGCAGGTGGCACAGCCGGGCCGCCCTGGGCAGGGAGCTGCAGTGGCCCTGCCGTCAGGGGCGCGCTAGGTGGAGGTTCAACTGGGAATCAGCGCAACAGGGTGGTTACGTGGTGAGAGTGGGACGTAAACGAGACGGCAGGGAAAGCGCCCTGCTTCCCACTGTCGCGTCTGGGAGCGGAGATAATCAGCGTGAGGGGTGTAAGGGTGACCCGGGTGCGGGGCTTGCTGGTGGCCAGCGCTCGCGAGCGCCTCGCAGCGGCCGTTGAGAGGTGACTGCCTCAGCCCGAACTCGGCCTCCTCCCCTGCTTTTGCCTTTCCTCACGTGCCGCGGCTTGTATGCCTTTTCCTCTGTATTTTAAACACTTCAGTGAAGTTTAATTGACACGCAGGAAACGCCACGTCCCCCTTGAAACCATTGCAGCAATCGTGATAGTAAATATGTTCGTTATGCTCAGAAATTTTCTCTGCCCTTTTAACCCTTCTTTCCTCTGTCTCCTACCCCTAAACTAAAACATTTTGACTGAATTTCACTCTCTTGGAGCTTAACCCTTTCCCTCCCAGAATTATGCTTATTTTACTTTTTAATTTTTTTTTTTTTTTTGGTGGGTATTGGGAATTGAACTCAGGACCCTTATGCTTATTTTACTTTTTAATTTTTTTTTTTTTTTTGAGACAGGGTCTTGCTATGCAGTTCAGGCTGACCTTGAGCTCACTTTGTAGCCCAGGCTGGCCTCGAACTCCAAGTTCAGTCCACTCGCAGCCAGCTGAGGTAGCACCAGGAACAGAAGGATGAACGTTTCTCTAAGTGTTTATTTTCGTTCTTGTCCCATAATTCGTCTTTGTCCCAGCTACTTAAGAAAGCCATTCCTTTGTGATAGTTCAGCCTCCCGAGTCCTGGGATTACAGGCGTGCGCCTCCGCGCCCGGCTATGAATTATGTTTATTTTAAAAGATTAGAAGGCGACATGGTTTGCACACCTGTAATCTCAGCATTCTGGGGGGCTGAGGCAGGAAGATCCCAAGTACAAGCCCAACCTGGGCACCTTAGCGTAGCTCAAGGCAAAAGCCCTAAATTCTATCTTCAATACTGACAAAGAAAAATTTTAAAAAGGTGTGTGATATGATTTTCTTGGTAACTTGAAGGCAGATTTAATCTTAATAATATGCCTTATACTTCTTCAGGGAAAACATAAGTCCCCTAAGTATAACAAAGAGAACTGGTTCAAAACAGTAAAGTTATATAGCCAGGCATGGCAACACATGCCTGTAATTCTTGTACCCTGGGAGGCTGAGACAGGAGGATCACAAGTTTAAGCCCAGCCTGGCCTCCTTAGTGACTTGGTGAGACTCTGTCTCAAAATAAAAAAAACGAGTTGGGATTTAGCTCAGTGTGAAGGCCCTGGGTTCCATTCCTTTTGTTTTGTTTTGGTTTTGATTTTTTTTCCGGTACCAGGAACCAAACTCACGACCTTGAACTTGCCAGGCAGGCGCTGTGCCGCTGAGCTAAATCTCCAGCCCCGGGTTCCATTCCTAATACTGGAGAGAAAGGAAAAAAAGAGAATTAATTTTCTTACCTAAGTAAACAAAGGAATGGCTTTCTTAAGTAGCTGAAGGTTTCATGGGACAAAGATGAATTATGGGGCAAGAACAAAAATAAACACTTAGAGAAGCATTCATCCTTCTGTTCCTGGTGCCACCTCAGCTGGCTGCCAGTGGGCCGTAGCTGTCCCTGTTCTGGAGCCCACGGCTGCCTGGCTGCAGGCTGGGCCCCGAGGTCAGGAGCAACCTTCAGCCTGGGGCAGCCGGTGGGATCACCTCAGTTACTGTCTTGTCTGTCACGGGGAGAGTGATGTTGGGGGCACTGAAGGTACTGATAGGAGTCCCGACTGCTGTGTGAGGTGGACAGCTCGGCCACTTGCAGGCCGAAGGTCGGGGGTCGCGGTGCCACCCTCACGGCGCCTCACTTTGTCTGTCACGGAAGTCATTGCTTCCGGGGGAAGACAGGGAGCTTTGCTCTAGCTATGGCATGTGGTGCGGTGCTGGTCACACGCAGTGGGTGCTTAATGGGTGGAGTGGCAGTGAGGCAGTTTGTAGCGTATAAGCCGCAGAGCAAATACTGGGTAATTTCTCTGCTGAACACAGAACATGTAAAGTGTATCTGAGAATCAGGGGTAGATTGATTTCTTTAAAATCTGTTTATTTATTTCAGAAAATTGGTAGCTGGTAAGGTAAGTGAATAATCTGAAAAATTAGTCATTTCTTATAGGACACATTGAACTTTTTCTCCCCTGTGGTACTGAGGATTGAACCCAGGGCCTTCACGCTGACCTGCATCCCCAGCCCTTCTTTTATTTTTTCTTGCAGCTCATTGGGTTCTTGCTGTACCCCGGGGAAGGAATGGCGGCGAGAATGAGGAAAAGATAGATGAGACAAGAGCTGGGTGAGGGGCTGAGGATATGGCTCAGTGGCAGAGTTCTTGCCTTGTGTGCAGATAGCCCTGGGTTTGATCCCTAGCACCACAAAAACAAACAAATAAAACGCAAGTCTAAGTGGACTTGTTTGTAACCAAGAAGCCTGATCAATAAAATTCCTTTCCAGCATCACATTTAAAAAACAAACAAATAAACAAAAAAAAGGGTGAGGTGGAGGCCTCTTTACCGGATGGGTAAGAGGACCTCAACAACAGTAAGGGTGTTTATTTATACCTTTGAAAGTTAGTATCACAGATGCGAGGTTGATTGCCAGCTCCAGCTGCTCCCAACAATTTTTTATTTTGAGACAGGGTCTTTCTAAGTTACTAGATTGCCCGGGCTGGGCTTGAACTTGCAGTCCTCCTGCCTCAGTGTCCCAGAGTGCTGGGATCACAGGTATGTGCCACCATTCCCAACCACCATGAACTATTTAAAAATGCCATAATTTGGATTGAGCATTATGTGTTTTTCTAGAATTAAGTTAAATAGAAGCCTCATGTCATGTTCATCCAATCTGATGTAACTGTGTTTTTCCCTTTAGGAGGCAGTGAAAAAGCCCGGGCACTTCATACATCAAGAGGAAAACTGCTGCCCAGGGAAAGAATTGACAATCTCATCGACCCAGGGTTTGTACCGTCTCAAGTGCTAACTCAGTGTTCTCCCTGCCGTGGTGTTGAGACCAGCTGGGGGCCGGGGGGCAGGGTCCAGATGTGCTGTGCAGACAGCTGACCTGGAGGTCTCCGAAAGGACTGGGTGTGGGGTTCGAGGGGGCCAGTGATTGCTCCAGAAGTGTTTTCTCCCTGGAGTGGCCCCCTCTTCCCTGCCTGGGGACCATGCTGCCAGCGCCTGTGTCCCTGCTGGTCCGTTAGTGTGCATTTGTGTCTTAGGCACCTGTGCATTCTAAACATAGCAGGAGACTCTAAGTGTGAGTGTTGGACCCCTTTCCCCTCTCACAGTATCTCGAACGTGGGAGGAACAGCAAGGTGGTGGTGAAGAGCTGGGTCCTTGGTACCACACTACTTAGTAAAATCCCAGCTTCTACGGACGGGTGTGATGGCACGAATTTGTAATCCTAGCACCCTGGGAGGCTGAGGCAGGAGGGTAACAGGTTTTTTTTTTTTTTTTTTTGGTGGGTATTGGGAATTGAACTCAGGACCCTGTATGCCACCTAGCTATCTCCCCAGCCCCTAGATCTGGTTATTGAACTGGCTGTGTAGCCCAGGCTGGCCTTAAACTCACAGTGTCCTTGCCCTTCTGACTCAGCTTTCTGAGTGCTGGGATTACAGGTGTGGACCACCACGCCTGACAGGCATGTTTGAGCCCAGCCTGGACGTCTTAGTTAGACCTGGTTTCAAAATTAGAAGAGCAAAGGCCCTGGGTTCAATTGTCAGTACTGAAAAAAAAAGAAAGAACCAGCTCTAAAGAAGAATACCAACTCTGCATTGCTAGTTGTGTTACGTTGTACAAATGACTTAACTTCTGTGTTTTGGTTCCCTCATCAGTGAATGGCGGTCCGTAGGATCCGCCTCCTGAGGTGGTTCTGAGGCCCAATGCGTTAGTGTTTAGGGAGCCCCTACAGAGAGGAGGGCTGGCACAGGTAAGGGCCACGTAGTGCAGGTTGTGATTCTTTGTCTGTGTTAATAAAGACATTTGTACAGCACTTTATAATAAGCACCCGGCATTCTGTCCTGTGGATACACTATAGAAATTCTCAAGACATTCGCATCTGACTTTGTTTAGTTGTTTTAGAGGTTTTGTGTACAATGTGCATACTTGAGATTTTGCCTCATTGGAAACCGTGTCCCTGCCCTTGTGTAGCTGTTCAGGTGTGTGCATGTGCTTTCTAGGACGTTAGTTCTGATGCTCTCCTTTCCCCCCAGGTCTCCGTTTCTGGAGTTATCCCAGTTTGCAGGCTACCAGCTGTACGGCGACGAGGACGTCCCCGCAGGCGGCATCATCACCGGCATTGGAAGGGTGTCGGGGTGCGTCTTCTCTCTGGGGCACGCGTGGGGGTCGGGAGCAGGTCTGGGGTGGGAGGCAGGTATGCGGCATCTCCTTCCCATGTTGGGAGGCAGCTTCATGCTCACTATACTGTCAGGACCTCAGTCGCCTGTGCAGCCTGAGGGAGAGTCATCTGTGCAGCTTTTTGTTTTTCTCTGGTACTGTGGATGAAACCAAGGGCTTTTGTGCTGAGCTGCATCCCCTGCCCTTTTTATTTTGAGATAGTGGCTCACTAAGTTGCTACATTGCCCAGGATGGGCTTGAACTTGCAATCCTCCTGCCTCAGCCTCTCAGGGTGCTGGGATTATAGGCATGGACCACTGACTACATGCAGCTTCATTTGTGGAGCCTTACAGACAAAAATCAAAAGGAAAAACCCCGGCAAAGATCTCTGGGGTTGCATCCAGATCTTGGCACTTCCTCAGCCTTGCCATGTGTGGGCCTGGCATGGAGAGTGTTCTTCCTTCGGTCCCACAGTTGATCTGTGCATCTGCCAGGTGAAAGCCCCGTCTTAGAGCAGTGCCCCAGCTCCAGCTGTGGTCCGCAGGTGGTACCAGCCTCACCTAGGTGGTTATTCCACAAGCATATTCTCAGGTCTTTTCCTGGAGGTGCTAAGTCAGAAATGCTAGGGGTGGGCCCTGCGATCTGCATTTTAACAAGCCCTGCCTGCCAGTTCCTTCCAGAATCAAGATTGCTGAGTGTTAACCTTGTCTGTATGTGTGTAGGAGTGACATGGCGTCACCGTGCAGGACTGGGACGGCCCACCCTGCCCTGTCCTCCCTGCGGCTTGGAGAGAGTAGACGTCATCACAACTACACTAGTCTACAGAGAAGGACCAGCTCTGGGTAGCTGGGCCGAGCTCAGGCAGGCAGACTGTGCACATTGGTTCCTCAGCTTCTCCCCGTGATCTGTGCTGATGGGAGGCGCGGCCACCTCCAGCGCCACTGTTGCTCCTTTTATTTAGTTTCCTCTCCTTACCCCTAGCCCCCTCTGTGGCTCTTCGCTTAATGTTCAACCGGCGTGCAGGCTTTTTGTTTTTGTTTTTTGAGTCTTATGGGACAGTTTAAACTTTTTAAAAATGATAAACTTAATGCAGAATTAACCCAACCTCCTGTATCATGGAAATACATACATAGAATAACTTCTGTTCCTCATTCTTGGGGTTGTAATAGTGGCCGTGTGTGCCTTCCTCTTTTTTCCTTTGTGCATACACAGTAGTCATGCGTGTGCGCATCAGAGAGCCGGGTGTGTTTACACACACTGAGGCAGTATGATGTCCCTAGACAGTATGACCCCTCATGGTGTGTGTGCTGTGTCGTTGACTGGAGCAGCTTTATGTGCCCTGACTGTGCTAACAAAATTTAGTGTAATTTTATATCCAAAATGATAGAAGCATTTCAAATGAGATACCCAGGGACAGACCCAGCTCTAAACATGAGATTCATTTATGTTTCATACATACTTTGCATACATAGCCCGATGGTAATGGTATACACTGTTTCCAATATTTTCCCCACCACAAGTGGAACATTCCATACTTGACCTCATGGGGTAGGACATGGTCAAAATACAAGTGCACTGAAAATATTAGCTTGTCAGCTTCATGTTACTACCTCAGAGCTTCTGAGACAGGCTGCCTGAGAAGTCAGTTTAGAGGTTTATTTGCTCACAGTTTTGAAGGTTCCAAACTGTGTTGGCTGCCTGGGCTCCATTTTGGTGAGGGTGGTGGATCCTGATGGCAGGGAGTGTGTCTTGGACCAAGATCCGAAACTATTCTGTTTGTTAACGTGTTGTTTGCCACCCCTAACCACTCTTCCCCATTGGAGTGGAGCTCTGTGGAAGGAGGAGTTTTGTCCTTCTTCTTCACCCCTGTATTGTTCGTCCCCAGGATGGGACATGGCATGTAGGAGGCACATAAAAGATATTTATTGAATGAAGGAATGGATGACACCAGAAGACTAAGTTGGCTGTTGGTTAGTTCTAGCGTGAGGCAGTGAAATCGTACCATACTTACATAGAATGCTGTTTTTATTTTTCTAGTTGGGAGGGAATCCCCTTACTCCACAGTGATATCAGATGAAGTGGTAGATACCAGAAGACGCCCTTGTTTAATTCTACTCTAGAGGATAAACTGTTGCTATAAAGGTTGATACATTGTGTCAACTTGAGTCTAGAAGCTTAACTGAGTAACTCAGCAGTTCTCCATCCTGGGGTCTGGAAGACATGCCCTTACCCTCTTGGATGTTGTTCATTGTGTCAGCTTGAGCAGTTGAGAAGTTGAACTAAGGGACTCAGCAGGGGGCCGGGTCCTCACTTTGTAAACATCCTGAGCCTGTGCAAGAGGAGGGCATGGAAATGGTGTGAGTGTAAAGGACCCACCTTAGGACAGGGAGCTGCTTACAGTATGAGGGAGGAAAAGAGGCTTGTCTCCCTGCCACCCTTTCTGTGCTCTTGCTGCTTTTGCTGTTTTCTGCCACCTTGAAGTGTTGCCCCTATGCCATGCCACTCTGCCTTGGAGCCGGCTGATTACAGACTGAAACCTCTACAAACTGTGATTAAATAAACCTTTCCTTCCTCAATTTTGGGTGTTGGGTATTTTGTCTCAGCAATGAGAGAAAAGTAACTTAACAGTTATCAAAAGCCTGTTCTGACGGCAGCTCTCAGGTTGTTCTCTGTGGTCATAGACAACCAGGGATCCATATCAGGTGCATATATTTCAGCCTGTAAGAGATTTCTTTCCTTGTGGGCATGGGGAGGAGTGATTTTATCTCCTCCTGGAGCTACTCTAGTGCTGGGTATTATGAGTGCATCGGAGTTCGTTCATTTACTAGGTATAAAGTAGCAGCACTTCATTGTAATTTAAATGGCCCATTCTTTCATAGAAAGCATGGTTGAATGCTTTGTGTTATCCATATTCCTTGTCTGACGAATAACTGATGAACAGTTTGCTCAAAGTAGAAGCAGAAAAGAGATTTCATCGACTCTTTCTGCTAAGCTCCGGTGTGGCTCGGTCTTGGCCACAGTCCGTATTATCAGGTGTCTGACTTTTCTGTTGCTGGCCTGCTTGCCCTGTGTGGGCTCTCATATCCAGTACTGGGTGGCAGGCGACTCCTGCTTTCTTTTTTTTTAACTGCTAATATCTTTTGTTTTTTTTGTTTTTTTTTTTTTTTTTGGTTTTTCTCCGGTACCGGAAACCGAACTCACGACCTTGCGCTTGCCAGGCAGGCACTTTGCCGCTGAGCTAAATCCCCAGCCCTAACTGCTAATATCTTTATTGGCAACAAAACATATTTCAGCTTGCTTCTTCCCTGATTTGTGGAACCCACCCGGAAATGCCTGCGCTCCTAGCATGGTAATTACGCTAGAGGAAGATGAGCGCGGAGGTACCACGCCCACCCATAGCAGAAGGGTTAGACTCGGGTTGGTAGCTAATGTTGAACAATATTGGGTGCCCACCGTCTTGAAGTTTAGTTGACGCTCTCACCTCGGGGCCAGTCTCCACTGGACTCCAGTCAGACCCCTGTGCTTGTGGGGCACTGTTTTCTGGATGTGTTGCTCGCTCCTGCAGGGCCCAGTGGGACAAAGATGCCAAAGGCCATTTGACGTGGCCCATTTGGTGTGGTTTAGTTCATGATCCACGTGTGCACACCACTGTCTCCTTCATCCACAGGGGATACAGCATCGCAACACGGCTGGTGGAAGACTTTTTGGCTGGTTGGTTATATGCACATCCTGTACCATTTCGTATAAGGGACTTGAACGTCAGCAGGTCTTGGCATCTGTGGGTGGTCTTGGCATCAGTTCCCTGTGAATACTCTTATTTTCATTGCAGTGATACAGGGAGGACATAGGACCTCCAAATAGTATAAGGGAACTATAACTGCTAACTCACTAGATGTCTGATATGCTGAGTTTGAGTTCTCTAAAATTGAAGTCTGAATTCTAGGAATAGTGGAGGTTAAGAGTGGGAAAAATTTATTGAGAGAAAGAAGAACTTCTGTCTAAGAGAGACAGAAGGGGTCCGAGTGGGTGGCTTTTAGGATCTGTGGTGGAAGGAGCGGTCCGGGGCTGAGTCTTGGGGCCTGGTTCATGTATTTCCCTGTGAAGGTGGGCACCTGGCTGGGCCCTTTTGAACCACAGGTACTAAAGATGGAGGAGCAAGCCAGGTGTGGTGGTGTATACCCCTATTCCCAGCACTCAGGAGGCTGAGGCAGGAGGATTGCTGCAAGTTTGAGGCCAGCCTAGGCTACGTAGTGAGTTCAGAGCCAGCCTGAACTACATAGCGAGACCTTGTCTCAAAAAAAGAAAAAAACAAAAAGATGGAGAAACGCTGAAGAAGTGTTTCTATCTGTTGTCAAAGTCATAGATGCTGGGGAGGCAAAACCAGTACCACAGACGTGCAGTATAGTATTGTGTCGGACTGAGGTTATTCTGTAACATGGCTGTGATCAAAACAGATCAGCTGTAGTGGTTTTGTCTCTTGTCCAGTGTCTCCTGTCTAGCAAGTGGCGGGGTCTGAATGCCAGTCTGGCTTTGTCTGACTTCACAGCCTGAACTCCTCCTTAGTGCAGCGCCGCACCTCGGGACTCGTGGACCCACCCCATGTGCAGGGTTGTGCCCGGTGGCCTGCTGTGAGCCTAAATTTTCTCCAAAGTTGTTTATTTAGTGGTAGTCATTGAAAGTTTACATTCCACTCTGTAATATAGAAAAAGGCTTTATATGACAGAGTTGACGCTTAGAGACTTGTTTATCTTGCCTGGACCCCTCAACACCACCCAACGCCAGTGTTCCCTGTTTTCAGCTGGGACTCAGTGGGCTGGTCTGTGGGGTGCCAGGGCCTGAGAGGGGGTGACGCCGCACCATAGAGAGAAAGAAGGTTGAGTTCAGTAAAGCGCGTAGTCACTGTCCCTGATTTCAAACGCCCTCCGATGCGAAGGTTCTGTGGGATGCTGTGCTCCTCCTCTGTCTTCCTTGGTCACTTGCGTGCCTTTGGACCCAACAGACTGATCTGGTGAGAGGGCACCGCCCGGGATGCACTGACTGCTCCTTTCATGTTTTCTCTGTATTTTTTTAAAGTTGGCATCTTTGTGTCTCCAAGCAAGATAAATGTTGTATTTCAGACTTTTTTTAGAATATTTTTTTGGAAAAGCAGATGGCAGTAACACTGAAGAACTCTTGACAACACAAAAATAAATATCAGTATGCTTGGCAAGTCTGTTTCCATTTTTGCAAATTACTTTCCTAAAAGGAAACTTTGAAGGTTTATTATGAGGCAGTTCCTCTCCCTTGAGATGCCCTCCCTCCCTCCCTTTGTATATCGTCATCATGTTAGGCTGGGCCTGATAGCGCACACCTATAATCCCAGGACTCAGGAGGCTGAGGCAGGAGAAATGCCACAAAGTTGAGGCCATCATCTTGTTAGACCTTTTCATTTAAAGAACCATTTTGAACCATTCCATGGCTTAAATTGTTAGTTTTTCACTACTAATACAGAACTGATAAGTCTTTAAAAATCAAGAATTGTATGAGTTTGCAAACTTGTTAAAAGTAATCATTTTAAGCCAGACATGATGGTGCACCCCTGTAATCCCAATAATCTGGGAAGCTGAGGCAGAAGGATTGTAAATTCAAGCCCAGCCTGGGCAATTTAATGACCTAGCGAGACACTGTCTCAAAACATAAAAAGGTGTGGGTATGTAATTTGGTGTGGAGGCCTTGGTTCAAACACCAGTACCACCAAAAACAAACAGGCAAACAACAAAAAGTAGTCATTTTGCATTGTAAAAGTAAATTAAATCTTGCTTTATATCTCAGGATTGTCCCGTACTGAGTGTCATTAGTGATCTGTACTAGAAGTTAAAGGTTTTTGTGGGTACCAGGAATTGAACTCAGGACCTCATGCTTCCAGGCAAGTGCTGCGCTGAGCTATATTGCCGGCCCCTTAAAGGTTGTTTTGGAGTGTCTTGTGATGAGCTGAAACTGGTCTGTAATTAGGAAGAAATCTCTCATATTTTCAATGCCATTTCTGCCTTTCAGAGTGGAATGCATGATTGTCGCCAATGATGCCACTGTTAAAGGAGGCACCTACTACCCTGTGACTGTGAAAAAGCACCTGCGGGCACAAGAAATTGCGCTGCAGAACCGGCTCCCCTGCATCTACTTGGGCAAGTTGCAAGAGTGGTAACGTGCGCTCACACCAGCTGGTGATGCATAAGACCTTCTCACAGAGGGCCTGCGAGGTGTCACAACGTGTATTTCAGAATGCTGCTGAGTTCTCTCATGGTTAAAGAGGGAATGTGTGTTCTTTGTTGAAAACTTTTGGGGGAAATGAAACAAAAACTGCATGAAGCTGTCATTGAGGAATGACCTCCACTAATACTTCCACATGCGGCAGATTTTTTTCTCTACACGTTTTTTTTTCTATATATTTTTTCTGTTAACCATAGTGGGTTGAAGCTATTTAAAAAAGAGCTAGTAGTTCTAAATCTCTTGAGTGCCAGGGTAGTGTGTTAAATGCTTAAGCATTATATAATTTGAGTAGTTGTTTAAATTTAATTTCCAGTGAAAGTAAAATTAACCTTTGAAATGAGAATACATTTAAATCAGGAATGTTGGGGCTGGGGATTTAGCTCAGTGGCAAAAGCGCCTGCCTGGCAAGCGCAAGGTCGTGAGTTTGGTTCCTGGTACCGGAGAAAAACCAAAAAAAATTAAAAAAAAAAAAAAAAATCAGGAATGTTTCCAAAAGAACCTGAAAGATAACAGAGAAATGGGTACTTCCTGGATACTGGTTTAGTCTGCTCCAGCTCCAGAGTCTATCGTTCATTTATCTAAGCATCTGAACACATAGTGAGGCAGAGTTTTTTTCCCCCGGGAAGGTGAATTTAGCTGGCCACACACCATGTGAGACGCAGGAGCAGGTGACCCTGGCTGTGTGCAGGGGCTGTGCTGGACACTTCAGGACATGGTGAGGGGGCTTGATGGCATCTTTGGTCCAGCGGGCCCAGGGAGCCCAGCGTTGGTGACAGGACGCAGAGCAATTCAAGGCTTCACAGTTGCGGGCAGTACCAACAGGTATAGGACTAGGTAGCTTTTTTTTTTAACCTTTGCTATGTGCACTCAGCCATGACATACATTATTTCATGTCATCCTGATGACAACTGTGTTGAATACCTACTGTTGTTTTCTTCATTTCATGGGTTAGGAAACTGAGGCATAGAATGGCAGGAGGCACCTATAGTCATGCAGCAAGAAGGAACAAGTTCTGTTTTGAATTTGGCTGGCACTCTTTTGTTTTGATTTTACAGTACTGCCTATTGAACCCAGGGCCTTCACACTGAGCTACATCCCCAGCTCTTATTTTTAAATTTTAAGACAGGGTCTCGCTAAGTCACAAAGTTACCCAGGCTGGACCCCAACTTGTGATCCTCTTGCCTCAGCCTCCCACAGTGCTGGGATTACAAGTGTGCACCTTCACTTCTGGCCCGGCCCGTACTCTTACCACCACTTCCATCTGCAGTGTCAGACGGCAGTGGGTGATTCTGGCTATTGTGTAAGTATGGTAGGTAGTTTTTGTATTGGTTTAAAAGAGGGAAAGATACTTTTTCAGCTCAGTGAGTTAAGGTCTCACAGTGTCTCTGGGGCTTTGACTGATCCCCAAGGAGAGAGAATCCTAAGTAATTCATGTCGGATTTTGCACAGAGGTAGCAAGCCTGATTTGTTTGTGGAGAACCGAATCTCTTTGGTTGTCCTGGGCGACTGGAGAGACTCCAGAACTGTTGAGTTAGGACAAGTGTATTGTGAACGTGGTATAGACCCCACACTGTTGTTGCTGCGCACCTCGAGCCGACTGTGCAGTGGGTTCTGTTCATAGAGGCTCGTTTATCTTTCTTCTTTTTTAAAATCAGACTTTATTGGTACCTTTTGGATATACATAATGATCACATTCTTCATTGAGAATTTGTACCTGTACATGATGTAACTTACTTTTTCCCATTCCCCTACCCCCTTCGATCCCTCTTCCCCTCTCCATTCATAGAGATGTTCTTACTCCTCAATTTCTCATGCAGTTGACTCGGGTGGTGCCAACTTGCCTCGCCAAGCAGATGCATTTCCAGATCGCGATCACTTTGGCCGCATATTCTATAATCAAGCAATCATGTCTTCTAAAAATATCACACAGGTAACTCTTCATTCAAGAGGTGTGTTGCGGGGCTGGGGATTTAGCTCAGCGGCAAAAGCGCCTGCCTGGCAAGCGCAAGGTCGTGAGTTCGGTTCTTGGTACCGGAGAAAAACCAAAAACCAAAAAAAAAAAGAGGTGTGCTGCTTTTACTCCAGTGTCTTTGCTAATTGTGTGCTCCAGGGTGACTTAAAAATAAAACAGTTCAATACGGAATGTAATCTTTTCCCACAGAATGTTACCTTAAGCTTACTTTCAGTTAACAATTTTGTCAGTTATGGGAGCATTCATATAAAGTAATAAAGTCTATTTACTCACAGAGAACAGGTTTTAGTATATGTGCTGCCAAAGCGAGCACCAGAGAACAGGCTTTAAAAAGAAAGACCACCTGGTAATTTCTTTTATAGGAATATAATGAAAACTAACTTAGGAGACACCAGATACATACATTTTATATATATATATATATACTAGTATAGGGGAGACTATATGTATATAATGAGATACATGCAAGATAAGTTCATGGTAGTGTTGTTTATTACAGCAGAAGTTAAAGAATAACCTAGTGTCCATTAATGGATATTAATGGGACATTAATGCTAGTTTTTAGCTGTTAAAACCAGTGAACTAAAATTGCATCTGTCAACAGAAAGAAGCTTTGACCTGGGCATGGTGGTGCACACCTGTAATCCCAGCACTCAGGCTGAGGCAGGAGGATTGCTTTGAGTTTAGGCCAGCCTGGGCTACATAGTGAATTTTAGGCCAGCCTGAACTACACAGTGAGACTCTGTCTCAAAAAATTTTTTTGCATAGTGGCTGAAGGGCCTTTCACTGAACGTCTTCTTTTTGCCTATTTTATTTTCATTTTCTTCAAAAACTTTTTTTCTGGCACTGAGGATTGAACCTAGGGCCTTGTGTATGCTAGGCATGCACGGTACCGCTGAGTGATGTACCTGCTCAACCTGGTGTTGGTGGTGGTGGTTTTATTTTGGGCCAGGGTGTCATGTAGTTGCCCAGGCTGGCCTTGAACTGACACTCCTTCTCCCAAGTAGCTGGGGTTACAGATGTGCAACCATGCCTGTGATATTTTCTAAAACACTTTAATATCAGTATTTCTTTCCTTGAACCGTGTTCTTTTGGTTTATTTGTGGTACTGAGGCTCAAACCCAAGATCACCCACATGCTAGGTCACATCTTCACCTCTTTTTAAAAATCTTTTTGAGTCCGAGTCTTGGTAGACTGCCCAGATAAGGCCTGAATTTATAATCCTCCTGCCTCAGCCTCTCAGAGTCCTGGGATTACATCACCACACCTGACTTTTATCTCACTATTAGATGTATCCTGACTAATTTCTCTTACTAGACTGTTAGCTTCTTGACATTAGAACAATGTCAGATTAATTTTTATATATCAAATTTCCCTGAGAGAAGCTTGTCTAATGTTTATTAGAAGAGCAAACTCCTTCCAGTGGTAGCCAACATAGGAAATGCTTCCCCTTGATATTTTAGTGTTGAGTATTTATTTGGCACTTTGGCCTGAATGTGCTGGTAAAACCATTAAAATACTGTATTGCATAAGTCAGTGACTCGCACTGAGTGGTTTGGGTGTGGTTTTCCACAGAGGTTTGGTGCTGGAAGCTCATTCTCCTGTGTAGCAGTCCTGAGGTGTGGATCTGAGACATGGCCTACTGGGAAGTGGAAGGCTGGGGAACACTGCGCCGGAAGGGGCTGATGCGCCAGAAGGGGCTGATGCTGGGCTTCGGAGTGGTTCCTTCCTACCTAGCGGGCTCTTACAGAAGAGTGAGCCTGGCTCTGACCCATCTCTTGCTTCCTGAATTGCCCTGTTGCCCTGTGACCTCTCTGCCTCTCACACATGCTTCTGGCATCGTGTCATCCACCATGTGTGGCATAGCCTGAGGCCCTCACAGATGGGGCTGCCTTATCCTCGATTTCAGCGTTCAAATTCTAGTAAACGACCCAGCCTCTGGGATTGTGTTATAGCAACCCAAAATAGGCAAAGTCATAACTTCATTTATGTTGTGTATGTGTCCTGACAGTGCTCACTAGCTTCCCACGTTCTGCTCTGTTTTTCTCCCCAAGGTTGGTTTTTATTTAATGTTATTAACTTTGCCAGGCAATCATCTGGAAAAACACTACACAAAATTGCATTACCCTCCTGGTCTTTCACTGTTCCAGTTCGTACCTCAGCAAATAGAGACTGGGTCACATTGCATCAAAAATGAATTACAAATAGCAGATCAGTAGGATGCCCTACGGAAAGGTCCTGACCAGGAGCCAAGAGTTTTACACCTGATTCTGCAAAGGTGCATTACCTCTGGACCTCCATTCTCCCCCTGCAGAACTCCAGACGATTCTACAGTGCAAGGAACGCTGTGATCAGTGTAACAGAACCCAGGGGAGGCGGGGCGACTGCTTCACAGGAAGGCTGTAATAATGTGTTTAATCCTTGTAGTGGAGAGCGCAGCAGGATTGCTTTGCTGGGGTTCTGGGTCCTCTGTCCAGTGATGCCCCTGTGTAAGCTCTTTGTTGTACC